CAACCCGGCCCCCGGCTCAAAAAGGTTGCCTACCCCTGGTTTAAATCCCCCAAGGACAATTAAACCTTATGTTGCTCCTTTTTCTTTGGGTGTGATCTCATGCCATAACTATTCCAACAAGGAATACATATTGGATTACTTTTTCTGTCATCTCTTACACTGGCCATGCTAGCTGTCATAGAGTCATAGAATCATAGAGCTAGAAGAGACCTCAAGGGTCATCCAGTCCAACCCCCTGCCATGCAGGAACACACAATCAAAGTACCCCCTCCACTGACAGATGACCACCAGCCTCTATTTAAAAACCTCCAAAGAAGGAGATTCCACCACTCTCCAAGGGAAGGTGTTCCACTACCTAACAGCCCTTACTGTCAGGAGGTTCCTCTTCATGTTGGAATCTCTTTTCCCGTAGTTTGCATCCATTGCTCTGTTTCCCAGTCTCTGGAGCAGCAGAAAATAAGCTTGCTGATAAGCTTGTGGTTGATAAGAATTGGATTCAAACATCTGGAAAGCTATAGGTTTCCCATCTCTCTTTTGTATGAATGAAAGGGGAAAATCATGCTAGAATTCTGTGGACATACTGACCTTGGGCAAGTCACACTCTCTCAGCCTCCGAGGATGGCAATAGCAAACCTCTTCTGAAGAAATTTGCCAAGAAAACCCTATGATAGTTTCACCTTAGGGTCGCCATAAGTCAAAACAACTTGAAGGCATACAACAACAAACTGAAATGGGAGCACCATGCTCAACACTGCCCTGTGTGGCGATACAACCTTTGGCCCTCCAGATATTTTGGACATTGCTGCACCAAACCCCTGGCCATTGACTATATTGGCTGAGGCTTCTGGGAGCTGGAGTCATAAACTACTTTAAGCCCATATGCATTGCTTCAGAATTCCCCAGAATTTCTGGAGAAATCTTCAGGAAAAAGGAAAGGAGAAAGAAAAGGTTGGTCTTCTAAGCAAAAAATGAGGTCCCTCTGAACTCCTGAATCAACTTGGGTATCTCTCTTTTTATCTCCAGATCAGTAAAACAAAGCCAAGTTAAATGGTTGAAAATGGCTCATGGATTTAGGGTGATGAATTTTAATGTGCCCTTAGGGACAAGGAAAAAAGGAAAAGAAACTGACCCCTTCCAGGAATGGAGAATGAAGTGTGTCATTTTGGCTGGCATCTTTGGGCCTTTACAGAACCAGGTGACGAATACAGAAAGATTTCTCAGTGATTAATTTAAACAAAGAGGCCTTGCAAGCTTTTCAAAAGGTGTTAGGAAAAAGTTCAATGGAATTGAGTTCATCAACAAATCTAATATTTTAAATAGCTTCTTTATCTGTAGCTGTTTCTTTCACAGTGCCCATTAGGCAAGGTGATTTGCAAGAGTTAACCTGGAGGGGAAAAGAGATTATGAAGCAATGACTCACTAACAAAGCTGTTTGAGAAGCTATTTGAGATCAGAAACAGAAAATGCAGGCCCAAGACTAACTTCTTCCATTTTTTTTCTCCTGTTTGTCTGATGAAGAAGCCACTGTGACTTCGAAAGCTTGCAACATGTAGTTGTGCATTTTGGTTGGCCCAGTAAAGGTATAATTGTTTGGATACTTCTGTTTGCACAAAGTTACCTACACAATTTGGGGACATGCATGGCTGATGCAACTCTGAGACCTTGTATCTCCATCTTTCTTCAAGAACAAAGATATCTTCTCCAGTGTCTCTTTCAGAATTTAGGGATACATGGTAGCATTTGTCACCTAATCCTTTTTAACAGGAGATCCCAGGGCTCAAACTTGGATCTTCCTGTTTCCAATACTTGTACTCTATGTCAGTCCTTCTTAAGCTACTTCATGTGGCACAGTGGCATGGTTTTGTTCCCATGTGCTAGGGAGTGGCACCCTCTTTGTTCCCTTTGGTTATAACTATTTCTTTCCTAGAAACTTCCAGCAACCAATAATTGCAGACAGGTACTGGACCATAGATTCTCATACTGAAGATGGAGCAAGCTTGTTTTCTGCTACTCCAGAAACTAGTAAGCTTATCACACGGCACTTACAAGAACGGGAACAGAACGGAATAGAACAGAATGGAGCAAAAACGCATTTTACTGCACCAGAGAACGCCACCGATGTCTCCAGGAATCCCAAGGCATTCCCCAACTGTTCCTGGCAGCTGATTTTTGAAGGACAGTTCAAAATCGTTCTTCAAAATTGGCTGCCAGGAATGGCTGGGGAATGCCTTGGGGATGCCCGGCAGCATCGGTGGCATTTTCCCATGCAGTAAAATGCATTTTTACCCAGTTCCGTTCCCTTCCATTCTGTTCCGTTCTGTTCCTGTTCCTTAAGTGCCATGCTATAAGCTTATAGGAGAGGGAGCAATGTACGGAACAGGAATATCTGTGGGCAGAAGTTATTAAAACTTCCGCATTGTCATGGACGGATCGTTTCCTGGCTAAGGCCAAGCTAAAAGTCACTGTCTGCCCCACCAGGGGTGGTGGACCCATTAGAATGGTCCACCCTTGAAGGCTAATGGAACCAATTGGATTCCAGAAGGCCTTGGAGGGTTCAATAGTTGGCAATGCCGGTGATTCTGTCAAAGCTCTGGTTGATATGTGGAACAACAACCTCACCAGGGCTATCAACACCATCGCTCCCAAGCGTCCTTTCCAGCCTGCTCCAAACCGTAAGCCCTGGTATA